GTAGCAGAACTGATATCTTGGAGAGATTCTTGTGGAAGCCAAAATAGAAATATGTAGTCCTTTGCTGAAGACTGATTGCCTCTGTGGACTAGTGGTCAGAGTTTCTGGCAACAGATCCTGTGGCCCTGGGTTCGATTCCCGGCGCTATCAGATTTTCTAAGTAGTGGGTCTGGAACAGCTATTATGAATTAAAGAAGCATAAGCCATGGTTCAATGAAGGATGCTCAAAATTACTAGATCAAAGAAAATAAGCCAAATTGCAATGGTTGCAGGATCCAATCCAAATAAATAGGGATAATTTGAACAACATAAGACATGAAACCAGCAGGCATTTCAGGAAGAACTACTTCTCTGTTATTGAATGTACATAGAGTCACTGATGTTAGGCAGATAGAAATGCACACAGCTGAGCCATTAATACCTGATCCCAGCCCTTTTGAGGTTGAATTGCTATTGCAAAATTGAAAACACTAAAATCGCCGGGTAGTGATAAAATTCCGGCAGAACTTGTTCAAGCAGGAGGCGAAAATTACGTTCTAAGATCCATACGCTACTCTATTTGGAATAACAAAAAATTGGCTGATCAGTGAAAGGAATCTATTATTGTACCAGTCCACAACAAGGGCGATAAAACTGACTGTAGTAATTATTGGGGGATATCACTGCTATCAACTTCATACAAAATTTTATCCAATATTCTTCTCTGAAGATTAAGTCCATATACAGATGAAATTATTGGGGATCATCAGTGTAGGTTTCAACGTAACATATCAACTACAGATCAGATCTTTTGCATTCGTCAGATACTGGAAAAAGAAAATGGGAATACACTGAGAGAGTACATCAGCTATTCGTAGACTTCAAGAAAGCCTATGATTCAGTTACGAGGGAAGTATTGTACAATATACTGATACAAGTTTCAGATACCCATGAAACTAGTTAGGTTGATTAAAATGTGTTTAAACGAAACTTATAGTATAGTCCGTATAGGCAAACATTTGTCCGATAAATTTCCTATCCACAGTGGTCTAAGACAAGGATATGCTTTATTGCCACACCTTTTCAACTTTGCTTTAGAATATGCCATTAGGAGGTCCAGGAAAACCAGGTGGGACTGAGGTTAAATGGGACACATCAGCTGTTTGTCTATGCCGATGATGTGAATCTACTGGGTGATAATATAGATACCATAAAGAAAAACACACAAACTTTAATTGACGCAAGTAAGGAGGTTGGTCTAGAACACAGAGAAAACTAAGTATATGTTGCTGTCTCATCACCAAAATGCAGTGCAGAATCATGACATAACAATAGAGAGCAGATGTTTTGAAAACGTGGCACAGTTCAGATATCTGGGAACGACCATAACAAATCTAAACTTGATTGAGGAGGAAATTAAGAGGAAATAGAACTCTGGTAATGCTTGCTACCATTCAGTCCAGAACCTATTGTCTTCTCATCTGCTGTCCAAAAACATAAAAATTAGAAGATACAAAACTATAATTTTGCCTGTGGTTCTGTATGGGTGTGAAATTGGTCTCTTGACATTAAGGAAGGAACAGAGACTGAGTCTGTTTGAGTACAGGTTGTTGAGAATATTTGGACCAAAGAGGGATGAAGTGGCATGAGGTTGGAGAAAACTACATAATGAGGAGCTTCATAACTTGTACTCTTCTCAAAGTATAATTAGAATGATCAAGTCAAGGAGGATGAGGTGGGCAGGGCAAGTAGCACGAATGGGAGAGAACAGAAATGCATATAGGATATTGGTGGGAAAGCCAGAAGAAAAGAGACCACTAGGAAGACCAATACATAGGTGGGTGGCCAATATTAAAATGGATCTTAGAGAGAGAGAATCATATGGTGTGGATTGGGTTGATCTGGCTCAGGATAGGGACCAGTGGAGAGCTCTTGTGAACATAGTAATGAACCTTCAGGTTCCATAAAATGCTGGGAAATTCTTGAGTGGCTGCACAATTGGCAGCTTCTCAAGAAGGGCTCAGCTCCATAAGTGAGTGAGCCTGGAACGGGGTCCACTCAGCCTCGTGGGGATAATTGAGGAGCTATTTTAAGGAAATGGCAGCTCCGATCTAGAAAACCTAAATTAATGGCTGTGGGGATTCGTTCCGCTGACCACACGACACCCTCTATCCGCTTAAGTTGGCACTACCTTCATCGACAAGCAGCAGTTGCTTTGTCAGTATCATTTGCTTGTGGACTCAAGCCACAGTGTTTGTTGTTTGTTTTTTTTTTATGAAGACTTCCCCAGGAACACCCAAGCTTGATGTGTGTAATACTGAAGTTCCTCATCTGGTCACATTTTTGCCAGATTAACTGGTTTGACTAATGCACTAAAACATGGTAATTGGAAGTCTTACATTCCCCCACAGGAACATACATTTAGCAACTTGGTGATCCCAAGAGAGCACAACTGATAACTGATCACATATTGATTGATGTAAGACATAATAATGTGATAGAGTGAGTACTTACTTACCATTATCTTGTTATTATCAGAATAAGGACCAAAACTGTCAAAGTATGTTCTGAATAAAGAGAAAATAAGATAAAATATATGCAACCTAAAACAAACAGAGGTCAGGAAAGAATATGAGCAAAACATTAATGATTTAAGTCAGGAGGTAGAGGAAGCAGTAACTAAGGCAGAAGGGTGCACAACTTGGAAACCATTCTTAAAACGGCAGCAGAAGAAAGTAAGAAGGTATATTAGGAATAGATGGTTTGATCAAGAGTGTGATGAAGCAACAGGGGAGAAGATTAAGAAATACCAGCATATGCTTCAAAGGAAATATACTAAAGCAGCAGGAGGATATTGTAAATCTAGCAGGAAAGAAAAAAGGATCCGTAAGAAGAAAAAGGATTACTATGGAAAACAACTTAAATGGCCACAAGATGATGCTAAAAGCAAGTGAACAGACCCAGGTACAACTTGCAGCTAGACCACAGAGTTGCAAGAGCAGAGACAGTGCTATTCTCTCAGATAAAGCTGATATCCTGAATAGATGGAAGAAGTATTTTCAAAATCTGTATGGTATGACAAAGGAGAGTTCGGAAATGCCTCCGCAGCAGACAGCAATCTACTGACGAAGTTGAAGAAATACTATTACCTACCTTGGAGGAGGTGAATTTTGCAGTTTTAAAATTAAAAAATAACAGAACTTCAGGACCAGATGGAATGGATGTCAAACTTTTAAAAGTACATGAAATGAGTCTTATGCAAGTTGACTGAAAAGATATGGAAAGAGGAAACATTTCCTAGTCAGTGGGAGAAAGGGTTATAATATGCCTTATCTACAAAAAATAACAAATGATGTACAAAACCTATTGTGGTAATTCTTTGTGTAACATGGCATATAAATTATTCTCAGTTATACTACTTTGAAGACTACAACCCATTGTGCAGAAAAGTATTGGAAATTATCAATGTGGTTTTACACCTGGAAAGTCTACTTCAGGGCATTTACATTCAGTCGGTCAATTACTGGAAAATATGAAAGAATCTGGAATTAACACATACTACGTGTTTGCAGATTTTAAAGCTGCATATAAAAGCATTAATAAGAGCTGGGCTCTTCAAGGCTATGGAGGAACTTCAGGTCCCTAGAAAACTTAGATGTCTAGTGGAGCTTAATATTAAAACTGTAAGATGCAGAGTTAAAACTTTTAATGGAATTCTTTGTGACCAAGAAAGGGCTCATACAAGGAGATGCCCTGTTGTGCCTTTTGTTTAATCTAGCCCTAGAGAAGGTTATAAGAGAGACCAGTCTGGATAGAAGAGGTACCACACTCAATAAATCTCTACAGATATTAGCATATGCTGATATTATTGGTAGATATGAAAGAACAGTCAAAGAAGAATATATAAAGCTCAAGAAAGCAGTGGAACAAATGTGGTAAACCAGTGATCAAGAGAAAACTAAATTTATGGAAGTTAGCAATAATAAAACTAAAGAGAAGCATATTATAATAGACAGCAAAAATATAGAAAAGTAAATGTGTTTCAATATCTTGGGTCCAGTCACCTGTGACTGTCACCTCATTCCATCAAATCTCCATAGGCATTACCACCAGTAAAGGTACAATAGGACATATGGAGGATTTAAGATCACAGAAACTGTTTTCAAGACTAATTATACTGTCATTTTATTATCTCTGTATTACTATATTATTATTATTATCATTATCATTTATTATAATTTGGCACACTATTTCTGTATTATTATATTCTTATTACCATTTAGTATTAGTATTAATATTAATCTTTGACTTGTCCCATATCATGTATGATGATTCATGGATGAAATAAAATTGAATTGAATTCAATTGATAACAATATTAATGTGGAAATTAATCACAGAATAACTATGGGAAATAAATGCTATTATGGAATGCAGAATTTACTTGGATGAAAACTTCTAAGGTACAAAGTTTAAATATACAAAACCTGTTGTACTTATGGTAGTGAGAGCTGTACACTCACTAAAGTAAATGAAACTAAAGTGAAAATTCTATGGCCCAAGCTATATAAATGGAGTATGGAGAATAAAATATTATGAATTATATAAATTATTCAAAGAACCAAACATAGTTCAATCAATAAAAATTAATAAACTGAAGTGTCTAGGGCATATCAGAAGGATGGATGAAAGTTCACTCTACAAGAAATTAACCTTCTCCCAGCTAAAAGGCAGCACAAACAAAAAAGAAAGAAAGACCAAAATTAAGGATGCTGGAACTGAACTGACTTTAAACACTATTATCCCTAATGAATATGTCAAACAAAATTATGAAATGAAATCCCAACTTTATATAATACTGTAACTGATGATACTGTCTGCTGAACTATCATTAGCTCTAAAATCCATATATTCATATTCTTCCATACATGTGCATCACGAAATTCAAAAACACGACAATGAAACATCTTCATATATACCCTACTACTGTCCATATAAGAAAGAGATGACAAAAAAATATTTCCCCAAAACATTGGTGCCACACCATCTTACAATAATTTATTACTACACCTGAAGAATACAACATACATATTCAAATCAAAATGTTACAGAATTATACAACACACTATAACATGCCACATGATCAATTTCACAGACCTTTGCAAATAACCCCATTCTTAGACACCGCTTTCTGAATTACATGCCTATCAATTTTATCATAAAATTAAAAAACATGTGCATATCTGTCAATAGTCACTGTGCACAAAATGTGTTAAATTTTTAATTGCCTTTACTATCATCATACACTATCATTCAAAATTTTAAAACCATTTGTAAATGTCTGACACTATGCACCCAATAAATGCAGGGTGAAAATCATTTTACTCTGCATCACCCTTTCCTTCATCATCATGCGTGGGGCTATGCCATGTAAGACGCTCCTCATAGAACTGGATAACAATTTGGGGGCAACGGACATTGGCCTTCCTGGCTGGAACCAAATCTGCTTCATCTGTTCCCTTCCACTTCATAAGGAACATCAGCTCTCCACTCGAGTCTGTAGCTCCTATAATACGTTCGGCTTCCAATCCTCTGTCAAAACCTTGAGGCTTCTTATCTTCATCACTTTGTTTCTTCTTAGCAGGCTTCTTATCTTCTGGGGAACTATTAGGCTTCCTCTTTTTTTCGTCTTTCTTTGCTTGTTCCTTCTTTTTCCTGTTCTCTTCGAATTTTGAAATGAGGTCTGGACAATCCAGATTCTCCTCCGGTTCCCAGGTATTGTCTTCGTTGGAGTATCCTTTCCATTTCAAAAAGTATTCCACTTTGCCATTTCTCACGCGCCGATCGAGAACCTTTTCAACTGAAAATTCTTCTTCCCCATCTGTAGATGAATTTTCTTTGTCTGACTTCTTGCTCATGTTTAAACCTATAACAAATAAGAAGTCAACTTTCCAACACAGCTAAAGTTTCAAATCACAAAGGCCAAACACCACGAACAGCCTCCGAGCGCGACTTCTGAAATTCTAACGCCCACTTAAATTGACGAATATGCAAAGAGAAGACGCAATCTATACTCAAACAAACGAATAATACACATAAGAAAATATAATTGTCACTACTTACAAATAACAATAATTCGTACTAGTTCCTTTAATTAAAATAAATTCACTCTGATTGTTCTAACCTCCACTCATACCTAAACTTTCCACCGTTTTAGAGGGAGGCTGTGTCAAGCACGGAGTAATTTACTCACGGTGCTCACATCCAGCTAACCTACATTCCACGGATTACTAAGAACATACGAGGTTCGTACTGAAAGTCATGAGCAGCAATTTTTTTGTAAAGTAATATGCTTTATTATTGACAAACCAAATACACCACCTCAATCTACAGACCTTTCTTTATTTTCCCACATAATCGCCACGTCTTTGTACACATTTCTCCCAGCGTTCTGGGAGTTTGAAAATTCGCCTTCTGTAAAATTCCGCTCCAGCCATCCAAAGACAGACACACTACTTTCTGAATTGCCTCCCTCGTCTCAAAACGTTGTCCACGCATCTGATCCTTCACAAATCCGAAAAGATGGTAGTCGGAGGGTGCCAGATCTGGGCTATAGGAGGGGCGTGGAAGAACTTCCCACCCCATCCTTGCAATTGCTTCCAATGTGAGGCGAGCGGCGTGGGGACGGGCGTTGTCATGCAGGATGATGATGTTTCGTCCCGGACGTTTATCGCGCAATGCACGAAGGAGCTTGTGCAGCGTCTGGACATAACGAGCAGCATTGATGGTTTGCCCAGGTTCCAGGAATTCGGCCAGAATAAACCCCTATTCTTCCCAGAAGCATGTGCCCATCACCTTCGCAGCTGATGGCACTGTCTTTGACTTCTTTTTTTTTTTATGAAGAATGCAAATGGTGCCATTCCATACTCTGCCGTTTCGTTTCAGGCTCAAAATGGTGAAACCAGCTTTCGTCACCTGTCACAATACAAAGAAAAAAATCATCGCCTTCGTGTCGATAACTCTGTAGCAGTTCTGAGGTGATGGCTTTCCGCTGACCTTTGTGGTCTTCGGTCAATAACCGCGGGACCCAACGAGCACAAACTTTCCTATAGCCCAAGCTTTCAATTATCTCCTGTACTGCACTGTGCCCTATTCCAAGTTTTCGGGCTATTGTGTCCACAGTCACACGCCTGTCATCTTGAATGATCTCATCCACTCTTTCCTTGTTGCATTCAGTTGAGGCTGTTCGAGGACGATCGCTCCGAGGCTCATCTTCGATGCTGGTGTTCCCATCTTTAAAATGTTCACCCGTCATCGAACACTGCTCGCACTCATGCACACACTTCCATAAGTTCGCTAAAGTCTGGTGAATTTCTGCAGCAGGGATTTCCTCTCACACAAGAAATTCGATGACAGCCCGCTGGCGAAACGACATTCGTTGTCGGCCATTTTGCTAGGAGTGATACTGGTCACGTGATGAAAGCTATTGACGTCACAAGGCACTCAAGGTTAACACAACAGCTGGTTCCACCCACCACCGTACTCTCTTTCGTCTGCTATTCCCCGGTTGCGTGCAAAAAAAAAGTTGCTCATGTCTTTCGGTAGGACCTACGTATAAAAGCTATGCCATCTACACAACAATATTCTGTATTTTAAAAGACAAAGAAGACACTACTGTATCAACATTTGTTTATATTTGATTTTGTAAACGCAACATGTTTCGACCCTTATACCGGGCCATCATCAGGCATAAAATGCTCAAACTTCAGCTATTGAATATGCAATTAATTTTTATCTAATTCTTCAAAAAGGATCCTTATTATGTCTTGAAATTATTTAAATGCATAAATTCACAAATTGAGTCTTTTTGGTCAAAATTGAAAATGCTTAGATGATAAAATTTAAAATTAAAATATAAAGGTTAAAATTAGAAACCAAAGATTAAATCATGAAAGTTAGAATTGTACAAAAATGGAATAGAATTTCTTTTTGGTGAAGAAACTGCGACCGCCACGTGTTGATCTTATTTTATGACGGTAGAAGCGACTATAGCGTGAGGCGTCCGCATATCGAAAATTACTCACATGAGGTAGGTCGTGTAGTCATGACCTTAGTAATGTCTTACGGAGCCTATGCTCATTATTCAGTATGTGATGTATATTAGGGTATTCTTGTCATGGTAAAAAAAAAAGGGCTACTTTCTGCATTGATGCTGTAGCTGTGTTGTAGAGGTTCGGTCTAGCCCTTATATAGTGGCTGGACAGACTCTGTTATAGGGCGTGCAAGCCTCGGGAGAGGGGGTCCGCCAGGTTCTGACCAGATGGGACCCAACAGACGACCAGGCAGTGTCCTGCCGAATTTTATTAATAAGCCAATGTACATAAAGTTATTGCAGCAAAGGAGAGGACCGGAATATAATTCCGGTCCCCTTTACAATTGTGTGGTATACTACAGCAGAGTCAACGTATAGTGTAATAGTTGTGGGCTGCATTCTTGTGTGAACCAAAGAAGGCCACGCAATGCTGCAGCCATCTCTGCCCAGGCGATGGGTCTGGTGTCTATGTAGTGGGAGACTGACACCTGCCTGGGTGGACCGATGGAGAGAGTTGCTGTCGATGTGGGCGTGGCATCCGTATAAAGTTGCCTGAACAGTAACAGTGGGCGGACAAAATTTGGTGATGAAACAAAAACTGTAACCAAAACACATTGCGTTGGAGAATTAACTGAGCCAGAAACTGGGGCCAGCCCATGGCCCAAGTAAGCCAAGAAACGTAGCCTGGGATGCGAGCCAGATCCTAGCGAGTAGCTCGGGGTACGAGCACGACGAGATTTTGCAGGTGGTTCAAACAAGCTGGTGTTGGCCGAAGCGTTGATGCGCGAGAGTCAATATGTAGGCCGAGATAAACAAGTGAAGTTGTAGGTTCCAAAATTGATTTTGTAGTGTTAATGGAGAAACCCAACCGGTGCAGTTCGTCGTAGTCTGCCGTGCCGGTAAATGATCTTGTGCAAAGAAAAGCCAGTCATCCAAATATGCGATCATCGTGACGTCAAACAGACGATGTAGATGGCGAGCTATGGCTATACTGGCTCTTTGCATGACTGAAGGGGCCTGCGGATGGCCCATAGGAAGGCGAGTCCAAGCGTAACGTTGTCCGTTATAATAAACTCCGTAGTGATGCTGAGTTTGAGGAGATATGCGAAAGTGGTAAAAACCGCTTCGCAGATCAACCTTAATAAGTTTAGCTGTTGGAGGAATGGTAGATAAAACTTGTGCTGCTGAGTAAAGGGTAATCGGCGGAGTCCTATAATAGTCGGTCCATGGTGACAAGTCATGAATGGGTCGAGCTGACCCATCGGACTTGGGGACCAGAAACAATCTGAAAGCTGAGATCTCGTACCCTCGAGACCGCATCAAAGACGCAATCCCTCATCCGCAGAAGAAGCGGACGACGAGCGCGAGCCACAGTTCCAATGGCAGGAACTGATAGCAGAACTACCGACTGCACCTCGCCTTCCTCCCGAGTCGACACCCAAGGTGTTCAAGCTCGCACGGGAGATCAGACGACGAGCGGCTCTGATGACACAAGGTCGGGACCTTCACGATATTGATACAGTTCTGCACCTGCTAGCCGCCTGGGAGACTCTGCCTCCAGCGACCCAAGATTATGCAGCCCACAGACTCAGGCTGCTCTATATCGCAGTAACCAAAGGTTGGCCAGCAGCTCTATATTACGACCAGCAAGGGACCGACGAGTTTCTCGACGTCGGTCGGGACTTCTGGACCCAGTTCCAGCCACCTCCTCGGCCCAGAGCGGCCCAGCAGAGGGCATCTCGAGCCAGGGGACAGCCCTCCACACGCCGGGCACGGGGACGACAGGCAACCTAGACCCGTTAGCTGCCGAGGATGACTCACAGCCAGTAACCGACCAACTACGGGCAAGGTTTCAATCACAGGATGTAAGTGAAGCACTACTTTGGCAGCTGGTAGCAGATTATCCTTGTATTTTAACCTAATATTTTTCTTCTTCCTTAAATTTGCTTCTAATACTTACTATAAACCATTATCCTTTATTATTATTATTATTATTATTATTATTATTATTATGTATTTAAATTGTATTTTATATAAATAAAGAGCACACAAGTGGGCCCTCCTTTTGGAGGAACTTCCTGGCTTCCTGCCCCTTCGGTGTGCTCCTCCCTCCTTTCAACAGGCCGGAAGCCCATTGGCTAGCTTAGGGATTGTTTGAAGTAAATATAAAAATTATCGGAAATTGCGGTTTCCAGTTTCCATAGACCGAGCGCTCACCGAGAAAACTGGCAACCGCAACGCAACCGCGATTTCCGAGAAGTGTTATCAGCCAGAGTTGAACACGTGTTAGTAAATGGGGCAGCGCAAATTGAGGAAACTGCAACGCAATTCACGGGGAGAATCAGAAACTCAATTTCCAGGCAACGGAGCATGCCAGTCTTCACACGATTGAATACGACTGAGTTGCCGGGTGGATTCCTAGAAATCAGCTGTTCTATAACGCGCTACACAGATTCAATTGTTTGTTAAGACGGCACGAGTACGAAGCTGCTCACGAGTAGTTGACGAAGCTGCTAATTTAGTCTTGTGCAGTTAATTGAGGAAGAGCCTGGCTTATATGACAAACGCTGTCGAGCCTATGCAAGGCGTGACAAAGTACGTAGATTTGGCTGGGGGGGGGGGGGGGGGCGCGGGCTGGGGGTGGGGGATGGGGTGATGAG